CGTTTGTATAAAGACATATTGTCATCGCTTTAATTCTCTTTATAAATATAGCGACAATAATATGTCATAGAAAGTCTTAGTGCAGTATTACACGGTTATTGATCAATGATTGAACATTATATTATATACATTATTGATTAGCGTCGGTAGCTCAGGGGTCAAGCACTTGAATTGCAATCTGCAGGTCCTGGATTCACATCCCGCCATGTTCCAATGTGTTTTTCGATTTCCGATTTACATATGTACATTTATCCGACTTTTTACGGTGAAGGAAAACATCGTGATGCCACCTGCACATATCTGAGAAGAAATTCAAATATATGTGTGAAGTCAAACGCACTTGGCCAGCGTGGTTGACTATGGCCTAATCACGTTTAACTTAGGGTAGGCTCTGAGCCCCTTAGCGAGGACTTATAGAAGTGAGCTGATGATAATGATGATGATGATTGATTAGCGAACTTTTTTAATTTGAACGTTTATCGTATCTCTTAGTATCAAGAATGGTGTGAATCCTAAATGATTTATTTTTTTAAATTGACACCATCCATTGTGACTCACCCTAAACAAAAGCTGCTTCAAATAAGAGAATGAAGGTATTTCATGACAATTATTCAACATTGTTAAGTATCAACTTAAGGTGTCCTTATCTTTAAAACTTTTGTACGGACGATTTATTAACTAAGCTTATTTGTTTTGACTTTACACTTGGTGTCAGCTTTTTTAATCTACCTTGACTTGACTCATACGTATTATGTAAAATTTTACTATTTGTTGTATTTTTTTTATGTTTAGAAAAAAGATAAAGGAAGATTTCTTAGCTTATTCATTAGACATGAAAATATATATTTCGAAACCTAAACTGAACGATTTATTTTTTGTTACTAAAAATTAAAATTATATTTTTCTCAGTTACTTTAAACACTTGAAACAAACTTGATCAGATTAGCAGGGTGGCTTATTAATGATTCATGTAACTTTCCAAAATATTAATTTATATTGTATATTTAAATTACACTATTTAAAAACAATATTAACTTTCATTAGTTACATCATCATCAAGCCTAAATTCCTCCACTCCTGAACGTCCCCCATCGAGATACATAAAACCAAGAATAAAGCTTCATTTTAATAACACACGAGTTCTAATACAATGATACATAGTTGATTGATTGTAAATGAAAATAAGAATGTTTGTCATTGGTAATATTTATGCGGAATACAATTATTAACAGAGACAATGGGATTAATTGAATAATAAATACAAAGCAAACTGGCAGAGCGATGCAAAAAGGAAAATATTTATGATTAAAAATGAAAGAGGAAATAAAACCATTTTGTTTTACTCGAACTAGAATCGTTATTGGCGACTGTTAGCTAAACGTGACCAGACGGCGGATGGTTGTCTATGAAAGAGCAGACCACCTGGCTGGAAGTCGGAACGAAATAATTCTCTACCATAGAGTTTATAATACAATTCAAACATCTTTCGTTTGTCAGCTGCCAGTTAAACGGTTGATTTTGGAACGTACATTTTTAAAATAATAACCTTTTTTGGGTATGAAATTCCTAGCAACTTACGTCAAGACAATTATTTGATTTATAGTATAGTATTATAAATTAATCGTTTTAGTTTGATTAAATTAAATTAACAAGTAGTTGAAACATTCAAGAAACAAAACAGAAACGCAGACGTAGATGTTAATATGGATATCGGGATGGCCGATGAGTAATGCTTAGAGGATTTGGGGCAATACGCCGTTCGCAGACAGAAGACGCTCTCAGCAGACCGCTGACTGCTCCTGACTGTAAGCTGACGGCTGTTGATGACTCATTCGCCCGGATCGTATTAATACGGCGACACGCCTCCCCGGGATTCCGCACCAAAATACATCGGCCGTGTGTTCATTTTGTGTCACATTGGCCAAATGTTAGCGTCCTATTTTTTATTTTGTATTCATTTTGTTATTTACATTTATATTTACGTTTAGTTATGAAACTATTAAGTAACTTATTATATTTTAATTTATCTATACTGGACAGTCGAAAGCGTCGGTGGCTCAGGGGTCAAGCACTTGACTTGCAATCTGCAGGTCCTGGGTTCGAATCTCGCCATGTACCAATGTGTTTTTCGATTTACATATGTACATTTATCCGACCATCTTGCGATGAAGGAAAACATCCTGATGCAACCTGCACATATCTGAGAAGAAATTCAAAGATATGTTTGAAGTCAACCAACCCGCACTGGGCCAGCGTGGTTGACTATGGCCTAATCACCCTAAACTTAGGGTAGGCTCGGAGCCCCTCGGTGGGGACGTATAGTAAGCTGATGATGAATGATGATGATGAACTGGACAGTTTATATTGGACAGTTATATTTTTTTTATTATACACAATGTATACATAATGCAAAGTAAGAATGTTTTATGAGTATAATTATGTTAATTCATTATAGTCGAATACTAGATGACTGATAAAATTAATAAATTCAAGTTATTGCATTACCTTGTTTATCTGTAGCAATCTTTATATATACAATTCTTCCGTGAGTATGTGGGTCACTGAACTTCTCTCAAACGACTGGACCGATTTTGACGAAATTTTTTGTGTGTGTTCAAGGGGATCTGGGAATGGTTTAGATTCACAATTTTCATCAAATATTAAGTTCATATTAATTTATTCAAATTAAAGACGTGTAGACTGGACAACGTCTGTCGGGTCCGCTAGTTTTATATAAATATCATATGTAGATGACAAAGATGCAAACGGTTCTTAAGACAATTTTACATTTATTTTATTTAGTAATCAGAATTTATCAACAAAATTATTATCGTAAATAGCATGATCTTTCGTAAGCATTACGTCAGTACAGCTATCGTATTTTTGATGAGTTTGCTTATTTTTTTTTGGCAAAAAATATGAACGTCAAATAGTTATAGATAATACAAGATACTTGCGTTATTGATAGAATAAATAAAATAATTTCTATCTCCTTTTATTTTATCGTATTATTTATAATTATCAAGTATTTAATGTAGTTTCTTCTGAAAGTGTTTGTTTTCTTACATCAAATAAAGAACACATTCTTTTTCATCGTTTACTAGCTGTCGCATGCGACTTTATCCGCGTGGAATTAAAAACAAACTATTATTAGTCCATGTGCTCTTCCAGACTATGTTCTGTATGTATGCCAAATTTCATCGTGATCTGTTCAGCAGTTCTGGAGATACCTTCAAACAAACATCCATCCAGACAACTCGCATTTATCATATTAGTATCTTAGTAAGATAAATAAGAAGTAAGATTATATTTAATGTCGTAAATTATTAGTTTAATAAAACAATAGAAGTAAATAAGTCTATGTCTTAGTACAATTTCCTTATAAACTCAATACACATGCTCCTAGTGATAAAAGGAAATAATTTTATAACCTTGAGAAATATTAGAGTCAATTTATGTATAACTATACAGTAGTAAAATGTCACTTCCTGTTCGGTTTAGAAACTTCCTGTAAAACCACATGTCTTATGAAATACTAGCTCTCGCCGGCGACTCCGTCCGCGCGGAATTAAAAAAACTTAATGAGTAGCTTATATGTTCTTTCAGACTAGTTTTTGCATGTGTGCCAAATTTCATCGATATTCGTTCAGTTGTTCTGTAGATTCATCCATCCATCTAAAAATTCGCATTTATAATATTAGTAAGGTAGTACGGACGTAAAAACAAACATATCGTTTCATATTGGTTATGAAAGAATGACGAGAATTAAAGACGATTTGACAGATGTTGTCAACCGTCAGTTTTTAGTGTTAAAACATATTGTTATCACAGTTTTTTAAAAGCGAATGACAGAGCCGGAAATACGTATTCACACTGATATTTGAACAGTGGAAATCCACGGTAATGTTTGCGCTTGTTTATTATGAATTTAAAATAATTAAAAGTACAGTATCCATAAGAACAATATTTTTTTCGATACATCTGTGTTTATCAAAAAACTTGATATTAATAAATATTTACGTTAACATTTCAACCCTCCACAAGCCTCGTTTGAGTTTTAATTAAGCGTTGAGAAAAATATGCAAATGGCGGCCGAGTCTGGCAGACGTCGCAAATCAAAGCGAGGGCTCGTTACGTAGACATGACGTTTTATTATGCAAATCAATTTACTAACGATGATATACATTAAAAAATATCGTCATCAGTTTCTAAATCTTTTCAAACTTACTACAAGAATGTGTTAATTGATATATTTTAATATATTAAATGCAATGAATTTAATCGTTCTATTGATTTTTATGCTCCACATAAGGTTTTCGATAGTAATATTTTGTATCGACTCTTTAAAACAAGTTATAAATTCTTTGTTGAATTACGTAGGCGTGGTTAACTATTTTTATGTTAAAATTTTTGAAATGATTAATCATAAAGCGCATTACATTGTATCAAAGTTTACGGCCAATTAACGCTAAAATTGATGACAAAATTCAAAGGACTTTCCTCAATACTCACATATCCGATACATCGTATACTAAATGTAGATTTGTTTCTTTATAAATAGCATTGAAAAGTTTTAAAGAATTAGATGGTAATCTCTCAACTAACAATTTGTATTTACGACAATAATCGTAGCAATGTTAAACGCTATCAGGTCGTCCAATCGTGAAGAGCGATATCTCATAATGTTCTTTATATCCGGCCACATAAACACACCCGGGCAGCGGTAATGACGCCCGGGCATGGTGAGGGGCCGGCTAACCGGCCGTTACGTTCGCCGAATATGTGACCGCTGCATTTTATTACCACTTTACTCCGCCACATAATCGACCTTCATGATGAAGGGCTTATTTTTGAGAATAGCTCGCGGTGACTTCTTTCCCTGTTAGAAGGCAAAGATATTTTTATTTGAATTTTATTTCCCGACAATTTTCAACTATTCAATCTTCCAAATTTAGAAACTACTACACACTGGCATTCATTGAATTAATCAATTGTTACAGGTTGAATTCTTGGAAGCATATTGCACACCGAAAGACACAGCACGCCGGTCGCCACCGCGCGGCAGGCGGTCACGGGAGCCGCGCCGATCACCAGACGCCACCCAATGGCGGCACGAGGCCCGCAGACAGCACGACTTCGAGTCTAGCCGGAGACCGTACGACTACGGCTCAGGTAGACACTACCGAGAGTACGACGACGATTCGGCCCGACGGCCGGCCTTTGACGCGGAATCGGCGCGGCGTCGCGCCGACTACGAATCGGCCCGACGAACCGATTTCCACCTATCCACGCCTGGTGCGCGGCGCAGCCCGGAGAGCGCGCCTGAGGGATCAGTAGACTCCCCACCGGAGCCTGCGCCCTCCGCTCCCCTCAGACAGGATAGGCAGTCGTGCCATCGCTCACAGCCATACTACGAATCTGGTAAGTCATCTGTTTAATTATTACATGTAGATTAAGAAGTAATACATATTCGGCTTAAAAAAATAAGAATAGATGTTTGTTAAATAACAATTTATATCGGTATTTTTTTAATTGATTGCGTAAAACTGTGCTAACTGCAAATATTTGTGGACGTAGCACCGAGTTGCCGGTAATATCTAGCAACTAAGTTGCAATTTTACGCAGTTATAGTTGTAAATCATAACTTTACATATTAATATTTGTTTACTGAAATTATAATGTAATTCCTAGATTACTCTTATAAACTAGCTACGTTATAACTCAGTTCGTCTACAAGGAGTAAAGGACAATAGTTTCTTTCTTCTTGCAACACAATTGCGGTAGAAACTTGTTAGATCCATTGTTCAGGCCAGCTGTAGTGTGCGGCTGCATAGTATATCCTTTGCTTACACGTTTATTAAAAACTAAGACACATTTCTTAAGTTACATTTCATATGTGCTTTTAATTATTTCCTTCTGAAATCACCACAACAAAAAATGATGGTAAAGAAAAAAAAAGTCGGGTCATTTTAGCTCCATTTTGAATCTGCAGCCTAGTTCTTAAGTGTCTTATCATTTGTACTTTAAGATAATATCATACCTTAGGATCATATATGAATTATTCTATCTATAAGTTTAATGACTTTATTATTGCCATTAATTAATTAAAATATTGTTTACAAATGAAATCGATTTTATATTCGATATATGTTATTTAAAAGATATAAGACAAGCGATAGCTTAACGCACGTACAGTCGGGATGAAAGCCGATTGGCTTTCCACAATTAGGCCGCTGCTAATAAAAGCCGCGGCGGCCGGAGCCGGGCTTACAATGGAAACTTTTAATCAGGCCTTCCCGTTTGTTCGTCCGTCTAGACTGGAAAAAATGTCTCGGCTGTAATAAATACAGGCATAGTGATTGTACGACGATATTGCACTGAAGAGCATAGGTTTTATTTTTGCTTTACAACCTTTTAAAGAAATTGATCGTATAATTTAAATTACCTAGGATACGACGAAAATTGCGAAGACAACTTACAACATGGTTTTTGTAAATGTTTAAGGATTTCGATGTCACAGTAATGTTATTCGTACAAAAAGACATTACAAGTGTAGATTGAAACAATTTAACAAATTCAACTCACGTCACCATTGTGGTCATCCACGCGGAAAAGTAATTACAGCGCCTAATGACATCACTTAGGCTCCCCTCACATCGCTAATAGCCGATTGGAACAGCGCGTGTAGACACTTAAGCAAATAAAATAATAAAATATTAACAATATAATGATGAATAGAATCATTTAAAAATCGTAAATATTAGCTTTTAGCTGTCACCCGCAACGCCCTCTGCACGGAACTAAAAAAACTTAGTTATCCTATGTGTTATTCCGGTTGTGTTCTTTTATGATACCAAATATCAAGGAGATCTATGCAGCCGTTCTGGAGATACCTTTTAACAAACACCTATGTATCTATCCATACATACATCCAACCAATTACATTTAATATTAGTAAGATTAACCTGGACTTACAAGTTCTTCAAGTACCGACAAAATTCGGTTTTTAGTCTTACCAATAGTGTTGTAAAATTTTAAAAAGAATTAAAGTTTACAAGAATTTATTTAAAAAGGTAATGTAGCTTCATCTTGAAGAGGCCTTTGTTCAGTTGGCTATGCCTCACAAAACTAGAAAAACAACCGATTATTTTAAAATGTTTATACGAGTAGAATAAATCACTTTAGAATTGCAATAAAATAATCAGATCTGTCATATTTTTATGCAAATCATGATGAATTTACATTTTTTTTAAATCAAAGAGTTTTATAATCTATCGTGTAGACATTTATCTCGTGCTCGGGGGCTTAAATCCAAACTTTGTTCTCAACATGCATTCACAAGCACGCCTTTGTTGCGTGCATCTAGAATTTCTCATTAGGGTATTTCTATATTCCTTTGAAATAACATTAGCGTATGTGTGGGTAAAGGGGGAATTAACGCATTCATTTACACTGTGGTTGTTAGATGTTTATTTTAAATGTTTGAAACGTTTCCATTATATAGAGTTTTACATAATGCCTTTTGAATTAAACAAATGATGGTTTATTTAATTTTACGATTTACTGAACATTATTATTAGTATTTCTTGTTATATTGTTATTGTTAAATATTTTCATAAAAGCTTGTTAAAGTAGAATCCGGACGCTCATTTAAAGAACACCACTTGAGACGGTTTAGGGCGTTTCTCAGATTCAACTGCTTGTCGAAATATGCATTTACTTTGTCAAGTTAATGTTTTGTATAAAGGTTAAGAAAGTTTTAGGGAAGCCATTAGATTTTATCTTATTTATTCATTTCTTTTTAGAATCATCTTCGGGTGATCGATCTACGACAACAGACGACGAGGAAGAGTTTGGAGAGTTCGACCCATTCGCGACCGCACCGTCCTTGCATTCGCCTGACAGCGGCCGCTCGGACCCTCGATACGCCAACGCTCCCCGGAGGAACCCCAGCCCCTATTACTACGGCGATCTGTTCAAGACAGCAGCTCCGCCACCGGCCCCATCGGCCCCCACAACAGCATCATCTCGAGGTTCTCGGTACAGGAAGTCAGCCAGTCTAGACGCGCCGCACGTCGCTCCCCGCCCAACATTACCCAAGCGTTTTTCTGTGGCCGAGGATGGCTTTCGCGAGCTAGATCGCTCGTCCTCCTCGTCGGGTGAGGGCGCGTGGATGCCACCGCGGCGGCGCGGGCGCGACGCGGCCGGCTGCGCGTGCGCCGCGTCCGAACATGTAGAGGAGCGGGCGTCACGCAGCGTATTCTACGTACCGGCGCCACTGCCGCGCTGGCCACAAGAGATGACTGCACGACAGATATACGAGACGGCATTCGACTGCAAAGTCGCGCGCTCCGACGATGATCTCGACGACTTCGACCGCGTCAGCAACCACCCAGCGCTGCTGCAGGCGGAGGAGCGCAAAGTTATCTCCTCCGCCTCGTCCGCCTTCGAGGCAGTAGAGCGCGGCGAGCCTGATTTCAAGGGCCGGCGCAAAGTCACCATGAAGACTGACAGCGTTCGTCGTTCCAAAATACCGACGATACGTCAAAAGAAAGAAAACGAGAATAACGCGAGTGCCCTGTCCGAAGAACTAGAAAAGGTCCACATAGAGGAGGAAGGTCGGAATTCATCAATTTCACAACTCCCTCTCCGCGGATATACTCCATCGCCTCCGTCGACGGCACCGCTCCCGACTAAATTTCAACAAAAAGACGGATCTGCAATGAACAGTATCAAAAGTGCCCCAAACTTACCACAGTCGCAACCGGCGCATCCTCGGCTGAAGGACCTGAGGCTGCCGGTAAAGTCGCTGCGTGGACGCGACACGCCGCCCAGCAGTGACGTTAGTATGGCTGACGTGAAAGGGTCGGGCTCTACGGACCTCGACATCGGGCAGCGGCTGAGAGACTCGAGCCGCGAGTCGCGAGAAGGCGACGACGAGAGAGCGCAATCTAAAGACGGTATTTTTTTAGAGATTAAGGGTCGACCCACTTCCGATTCCGACACGTCAAAGTCGAATCGGTACACGGGGCCAAAGGGGGTCGGCCCTATAATGGAATTCAAAGGAAGGCCGAGCGTGGCCCGCCCGAGGAGGAAGTACTCGAGCACGGAGAGTATGGCCACCAGCAGTAGCGGCGGCAGTATGGAGTCGCTGCGTAGCAGCAACAGCGAGGGCGACCGGAGCACCACCAGCTCCGAGAGCCGACACTCCTCCTCGCTCAGCTCGCACAGCTCCGACTCGGGAAACGTCCCCTTCACCAAGTCGCTGCATCACATGCAGCTCTCGGGGTTTGGGCATCACCCGACCAAGTTACACATTCTGAGCCCTATATCGGATAAATCGTCGCAAGAGCCCGGGTCGGAGACCTCGGACAATAACAAAAACAACAATTCCCAAAAAGTGTCTCCCGAGGACTTAGAGACGGGCAATGCATCGTTAATGACTACCGACATCGCTCCGAAAATTAAACGCCGTGCGTTACAGAACAAGAATTTATTAAATCTCTCGTTCAGGCATTCTGTTGCGGGAGATACAGAGATCCAGGGATCCGACAGTGGTATATCGATACATTCGCGTGAAGGCGTTGATTCACGAAACGCGTTCATTAATTTCAAGAACAGCAGTAGCGTTGAAGAGGAGAAGAAGAACGATGACGTGGACCTGTCTGACCTGCCATTCGACATGCCCAAGTTGCGTCGGCGGCGCGCCGAGGCCGAGGTGGACCTCAGGACGTTGCCCTTCGACATGCCGAAGCTTCGCCGCAAGCTGCGCGGACAGTCCCTGCAGCTCAACAATGATTTTGGAGAAGCCATTTCCAATGCTTCTTCCAGCCAGAGCGTTCAGGATTTGAATCAAGGTGAGTTACATTATTTCACGTTAGTTCAAATAAAAAAAAGATTTTTTTAATGTCGGGCTAAAAATCACTTTATATCTGACAGACACAATAGAAAAGACTCACTGGAAATAAGAAACTTTTCACATAACTTATCTGTAAGTAAGGGCGATGCGTGTCCAGTCAATTCCATTGTCCCTTTTATCCCGTCAAATATACTTTCATTGTTATTCGGATTAAGATGTAAGAATACAGATTATACCGCACGAAAACTCGACTTGATAGCGTTCTGATATTTAATTTACTTGAGTGCTTTTATCCCAAA